TAACCACTAGGAAGAATGTATGCAATGTGTTAATTATTGAAACTGTCCTACCAATTTGGTTTGAAACTGTCTCATTGCTATTTGTTTTTCAATAAAATTATGGAAAAAAAAAGAAAAAAGAAAAAAAAAAGTAGTTGCTCAGGTTACCAGACGTCTGCATGTAAAATTGTTGGCTGCTATTCTCACACTTTCTGAAAGTGAGTCTGTTTTGTCTTCTGCCTACTGTATCTTAGCGCCTGCTCAAGTGACGGACTTGCGTGTGACCAACCAAGGCATGACCAGCAGTCTGTTTGCGACCTGGACAGAAGCCCTGGGAGACATAGAATTCTATCAAGTCTTACTGATCCATGAAAACGTGGTCATCAAAAATGAAAGCGTCTCCAGCAAGACCAACAGATACAGCTTCCACTCCCTGAAATCGGGCAGCCTCTACTCTGTGCTGGTAACAACTGTGAGTGGAGGGATCTCTTCCCGACAAGTGGTGGTGGAAGGAAGAACAGGTAAGACGTGGGGAAAAATTTCTAAGCATAATGTTCTAGCTCCTAAGGAAAAAAAAACAAATAGAAACTTTAATAATTACCATGAATGTTGAATCAAGTCAATGGCCTTACTATTTAATTTCATGTGATTATTATTATAAGTGGGGTTTCAGGCTTCTCTTTCTATATCTCAAGGCTCAGATTCTGAGCATCAGTTGCAGTCATCATAGGTAGATGAATGGATGGACAGACAGCCGGAAGGACAGACAGAGAGACAGACAAAATGGTTTTGGCACCATCTTTGGTATAGCATAGTTAGGCGTACGAGACTGAAAACCTTAGTTTGGAAATTAGAAAAGACGAGAATTAAAGTTGCAAAGGGCCTTGCATTCAGTGTCCCCTGAGTTGCAGTTGTAGACTGATTTATCTGCATGCACAATGTTGCAGTTTGGGTGCTCCTAAGTGAATAATTCCATTGCTCAGTTCTTCCTCTGGGTGCTCAGAGCTCTCCTCATTTCTCTAAGAAATGGAGATGAGGGATGACACAGATGACCAGGCTAGAAGCAGGCACATCACTTCTAGGTAGATTCACTGGTCAGAGGGCACATACGTGGCCACCGTTAGGTACACCACGCTGCAGTGGGGGTTGGGAAACACAGTGTAGCTGTGTGTCAGGAGGAGAGGAGAGTGCTCTGTGAGCATTGAGTCAGGCTCTACCACACAGACTAATGCCCGTTTTCAGTTATCACAAGGGACCTGGGGATGTAGCTCAGAGGCAGAGCGCTTGCATCGCAAGTAAGGCTTTGGGCTTCCTCTGCAGACCTGTCAGAAAAACTCTTAACAAAATGCCACAGTAGCTGTCCAATATACTGTGATATACTAACATAATGCAGTGAAATGAGAATGTATTTGGAATAAATGGCATTTGTAATTATTTTTATCTGTATTTTAATTATAACAGAGGTATAAATATCTGATTCACATTATGTGAGGGGCGGAAGATCCTACTCAGATATGGTGGAAGCGTTCAAGGAAGGAAAGATAAAGTCTTTGAAGAACGATCAAAGTCCTCAGGAAAACACAAAATATGGGCAGATACAAGCATACGTTATTATATTCAAGTATTATGGAAAAATGGGACACTACTACAGGTGCATGATAACTGGGGATTTTAGAAAGTGTCAAGTTTGTAGCTAAGCTTTGATAATCATTGCCACTTTTTCAAGTACTAAAACAGTGGTCAATATCAAACAGTTTTGAAAGGGTTTCTTATATTTTTCATGTTTATAAAGAGTTGAAACACATAAATGAATCTTTCTAGCCTAGACAAGATAGTAAATATTTAAAACTAAAGATACATGTTTGACAAATCTAACTCTATTCTGAAAAATGCTCATTCTGAAGAAAAAAATACAAATTTGGTATGTATTTTTCTTAAACAGGTAAGTCATATTTTGACAAAACTTCGATAATTGTATCTTTTGTAAGAAAGCATTAGTAGTTACAAATATTTCCAACAGCTTTACAAAACAAAGGAAACTATTTTAAGACTAATTACAGAAATAACTCCAGACATATTCAGCCCCACCTTATATTTGACAAAGGGGCCGAAGACATGCTGGAGCACAGTTTCTCTAATAAATGGTGCTGGAAAAACTGGCTCTGCACATGTTGAAGATGAAAACTGGACGCGTAGCTTTCACCAGGCACTAAACTACAGATCTAAGTATTAAGAGAGAAACATGAAATCTGCTGGAAGACACAGCAAGTAAAACTCCTGGAGCCACTGGCTTTACTAGCACTTTTCAGGTTCGAGTTAGATTTATTAAACATATAGCTGTATGCTAAGCTCTTGGTGTAGGCAATGACATTATGAATGAAACCCCAGTCACCCAGGGACAATCGCAGAGAGTCAACAACTGGATCTCATCTCATTAAAAAGATTTTGCATAGCAAGAGAAGCCACCAACAGAGTGAAGGGACAACCCGCAGTGTGGGGGAAAATGTTTTCCAGCTGTTCCTCAGATAAGTTCTTTATGCATTCTTATGATCAAGAATGCATAAAGAACAACAAAAGAAAAAAAACTCAGACCTCCCAGATTTAAAGATCCAATCCAAAAAATAGGCATTGCAGAGGAATACACATTTTTCATATGAAGAAATACAGATATCAAATAAATATATGAAAAAAATGTTCGACATCACTGGTCATTCAAGAGACTAAGTTAAAACAACACTGAGATTCCATCTTACCCCAGAAAGAGTGGCTGTCATCAAGAAATCAACCAAGAACAAATGGTGGAGGGGCTGTGGGGGAAAAGGAGCCCATCTCCACTATGGTGGGAGTGCAGACTGGTACAAACTCTGTGGAGTCAGTGTGGAGAGTCTTCAGAAAAGTAAGACTGAGAGTCCTATTTAACCCAGCTACTCCCCTTCTGGGTGTCTTTCCAGAAGAACTAAAAACATCATACCAGAGTTATATGTGCACCCATGTTTATAGCAGCACAAGCTCTAATAGCTAGAACCTAGAAACCCCAAATGGGCTGGCCAAATAGCTCAGTGGATTAAAGTGCCTGCAAGCAGGCACAAGGACTGGGGCTCGATCCCCAGGCCTGCCTGCCGGCCCCACCCCCGGGGCACGCTGAGATAGCAATTGAGACTGGGTGTGGAGGCTGCACTTGTAATCCCAGCTCTTGGGAGGCTGTAAACAGATGGATCACTATGAGTCTGATCTAGTAGTGAGATCCTGGACACCCAGTAGACCCTTCCCTAAAATACAAAAAGTAAAAAAATAAATAAATAAACAAGCCAAATGACAATCAACTGAAGAATGGATAAAAAATATGTGCTCTTTTTATACAATGGAGTACTACTCAGCCATAAAGAAGGATAAAGTGGAGACTTACATAGGTAAATGGCTGCAACTTGAGACCATACTCTTAAGTGAAATAAATCAAACACTAATATGTATGCATCATATTGGCTCCCTCATGTGAGACTCTAAAACAGTAAATGTGATTCGATGTATAATAGTTATTGTAAAATGGGAAGAAACTTCAAAATGAAAGCAAAACTGGA